AAGTATTTGAAAGTGTCCGCCAGTCAATGATCCGACGGGTGCATGGGTGTGTAGAAGGAAGAGGAGAACATTTGTTGAGTTGTGATGAGATACAACAATGGCCTTTTGGACATATATTTATATGGACATTTTATCTTTTGTTTTGATGTCAGGAAACTTCCCCCAATGTTTGCAAAAGTATTTTGATAAACCCTGTAATATAGTGGAAGCACAGATTTGACATTCGGGAAAAGAGCCCCAAAAATAAAGACGAACGCAGAAGAATGGGTGCAAGACGACTGGCATCTCGGCGTGTGTAATGTTTAGTAAACTTGTCTAGCTAGAATAATTACGACTGAGTAGTGAGTTTAATTCTTACTGTGGGCCCCATACTTTCAGTCTTTTCCACGTCTAAGCTAAGCTTAGACAATCATTTATGCAATCTTATCTCTCTGAACGAATTACGAATGAGTTCGGTCTTCACTAGGTGCTCCACACTTTCGTTTAGAAAATTATTAATGCATTTCGACGTGGTGTAATTGTTAGCAAGCTAGTCTCGCTCGATCAGTTACGACTGACTAGTGAGTTCGATTCTCCCTGGGTGCCTCATACTTTTAGCCTCGTGCCACATCTAAGCTACACCACCATGTGTGTAAGGCGACGACGAAGAAGAAAAAGGAGGGAAAAGAAGAGGGGGAGGAGGGTTAATTTTATAAGAAAATATAAGTAAATAAAAAGCATCAACAAAAAAGGAAATAAGCGAATGTACGAGATGAAAAAGATTAAGAAAAAGGCAAAAAGAGAGATTTTTTGAGAAAGCGAGAAAAAGAAATGAAAGGAAAACGTCAATAAAGAGGAATACTACTACTACTACTTCTTATATTAATAATGGTAATAATGAGAAGAAGAAGAGGAAAAGAAAGAAAGATGATTTGAAGTGGAACACTAGTTTAATGTTGATGCCAGCATTTTGACTGCACCAAGTGCCCTTCGATTGGAATAGAACAAATATTATGGACAGGAAAAGAAACATTGAACTCAGAGTTTCCAAGTCAACTTCTAAGCCCAAGTGTTTCTCCTCCTTCCCTCCTGCTCTCTCTCTCTCTCTCTCTCTCTCTCTCTCTCTCTCTCTACCTACCTACCTACTTACCTACCTATCGACGTACTTACTATTGAAGTATTCCTGTGTGCGGCATTTCATTTATCCCTGGACTGACAAAGTCTATGTACACGTTGTTTTGTGTGCGGCAAGGCCTACTTCACTCAGTAATCTTTAAGTGTATGTCAATACAATTCATGTTCATATAAATAACAAGGCCTTTTTTTTTAAATCTTACATAGGAGAACAAAGGAAAGAAAAGAAAAATCATGTTAACATTAATGGATAGATTTCTCCTCTAACTGACGGTATCTGATTTTTATATTAGAATTCGCCTAACGCAAGACCCAAGAGGCACTCAAGGCAAAGGTCTATTGAATGAGTTGTGGGCTATGAACATAAAAAGTAATAAATTACGTGGATATAATGGATAGATAACGATTGATCCTAGACTAAGATTGTAGTGTTTTGAGAAGCATACACACGGGAGTCAGTACCCCAAATTAGCAAATCTCAAGAAGAAACTTTACGAGTGGAACCTTGTACTTATCAAAGGAATACCTACGAAATTTTCATATTTCTTAATTCTTTGCTTAGCCTTTGAAAGGCATCTTTCGCTATTCCAATGCATCTTCGGATTTCAGTGCCATCTTTTCCGTCGTCTGTTTAAGTATTTCGCAGATTGTTAAATTCTGTAGTTCTTTTTGATTTTGACATCTCAAAATCGTACCTTGTATTTTCAAGTGTTTCTCTGGCTGACGACCATAAATATAATCTTCTTAAAATTGATGGTTAGTCTTTTCGTCTGGCTTTCCTTTAGTTGGCCTCTTCTTCTTGCTGACAACCATGCATTCTGTCTTCTTACAATTGATGCTTAGTCCTTTCTTCTCTCTTTCCTTTACATGGCCTCTTCCTCTTGATGACAACCATACATTCTGTCTTCTTACAAATGTTGTTTAGTCCTTTCTTCTCGCTTTCCTTTACTATTTTCTGTACGCAAGTCGTGTTTAATTTTCAGTCTCGATTTGAAATTAATTTTTAGATCATCGATGGGACGTAATTGTTACGGTGACAGTATCCATGTTCCGTATTACAAAATCATGAGTTATCTCCGCCCGGAGGTCTTGTGCCAATGATGAGATAGAACTTCCATCCATCAAGCAGTACCTCTCCTATTATACTAAGGGTACATGTCAATCCATAGTATCGGAGGCACCCTAACGAGGAAGTACCGACAGAACTGTATGCATGATGTTCCGTTCAAGTGTGTGCGGGAGTACGGATAGATAGGCAACTGCAATCAATTTATTGGTATACTTGTAAGGTATAAGATATCTACATGCTCAGGAGTGTACGGGCGGCGCATTGGTTATCGGAGAGGAAAGTGGACTCGGCGTGGCGAGTTCAAATTCCGACCAGTCCTCCTACGTTCGCTTTGGGAAAGAATGAAATCGTCACTTCACACGGCCCCACAATTGCCCAGGGATAATCACAGGGCAGAGGTTCTCAAGTGACATTTCATATCGAAAGAGATTGATTTTAACCGAAATGAAAGTGGGGAGAAATCCGATCATATGTATAGGTTATAAGTATAATGATAAAAAAAAAAATAATCACTAGATGATAATTCAAAATGGGGAGGAACCGAGAAAATCTAGGATCGCAAGAGGAGCCGTAACAATTGGAGATCTATTCTACACCTTCTCTCTGACTCTTTCTGAATTAAATAATGTTGGTAACTAAAAATTTTATCTATAATGTTCACTCTATACGTAGACATTAAACAGATCATAAAGAAGCAATCGAAACCTTTTTTTTTTTCGTTGGCAAAAAATTCCTCATATTTGAAAATACGCGGGTCGTTCAGAATGTTCTAAGCTTCACCAAGTTAAAGTTGGAGAAACAAGACACTTTTTCATTATTTTCCAATATAGTCCCCCCCGACCCTTGACATCACTGCACTCGGTCCAACGATGTTTAAGGTTTACAATCCCATTACAGAAGAAGATGACATCCTAAGTCTTCAAAATCTCTTCCACAGCATATATGATCTCATCATTGTTTCCAAATTGGCGACTACACAGCTAGGATTTGAGTTTAGAAAACAGGAAGAAGTCAGATATAGCTAAATCTAGTGAGTAAGGGGCTAGGGTAGCAATTCAAAGCCACAGTTGGCTGATTCTTCTACTGCAACCTGAGCAGTGAGAACGGACGCATTATCCCGGAGCAGGAAAACATTCTCCCTCTATTTTTCGACTTGTTTGCTTCCATCAGTTGTCTTAACTCTGATGCATAGTATTGTCCATTAATAGATTTATCCTTTTCTAGGTAGTCAGGATTACATCTTCAGACCACTACTTCACAGATGTATAGGAAGGTGTGTCCTCAGCAAGTGTCAATAACATGTCCTCATGAATTTTGCAGATACTTTTTGACTGTTAGAGATTCTGTTTTGTCCATTTTTACATTTGTCACACATCTCTCACATTTGTATTGGTCTCACCTGCACAGAAATTAAGACAGAAATCTGAATTAGTTTTTCTAGTTTTATAAGGTTACCACAACAAAAATGTTCAGCTATGGCCATTCTTTCTGGGTGAGGCTTAGACATTTTGAATGGCATTCGCAAATACAGTGATATTCGATAAAAGTGACGCACCTGAATTTTTTTACTTAAAAATTTTTTCGACGATTGTTTTTTTGGGTCAAACTAATTTTTAATCTTACTAATATAAAGACCCCTTCCATACCACCTAGTAAAAATGTTTAGTCACCCTATTGATAATTATAATTTTGGATATAAATGAGATTTAGGGAAAAACTCTATGCAAAAAAGTGACTCACTTATTTCCTACAACTAGTAATCAATAGAAACATAACCGAACAGCTTTAAATAAAGAATAATAGAGGTATAATTTATTTATAATAGGTAATATAGTTCGAAATATCTAATAATCTATGGGTCCTCCTTTATTTTGAATAACCTTTTCAACCCTTTTTGGCATTGACTTCAAGTTCTGGCAACTCTCATCTCCAAGCATTGAATTCCATTCAGATATGAAATTTACAATCAAATCCTCAACTGTTGCTCAACTGCTTTCTCGAGAGCCTGTACTTTATAATGCCCCATAAGTCTTCTATGGGGTTGAGGTCAGGAGATTGTGGCGGACATGTCATAACACTCGCCTGCTTTTCATCAAAGTATTCCTTCATCAATTTTGATTTGTGACAGGGAGCATTATCCTGCATAAAAATGAGCTTGGTGGGGTCGATTTGCACCCTTTCAGCAGAAGGGATCAGGCAAGACTCTAAAATTCTCTTGTACTGCTCACTCCTGAGTATCTTTTCAATAGGTTTTAAGAAACCAGTTCCAAGAAAAGAAAAGCATCCCCAGAACATTATACTGAACGGATGCTTGACAGTACTTACTGCTAAATTCAAAGAGCTTTCAAAGCTTCTTCTTCGGATTTTACATCACTTATCCTTTGAATTTAGCTGAACTTTCGTTTCATCGGAGAAGAAAACATTTAGTAAAAAAAAAAAAAATCAAGTGAGTCACTTTTATTGAACAGCACTGGAGGTCCACACTGTAAGCAAGTACTCTCCAATTATAGCTACATTATAAACCAAGAGTATGGGGCCATCTTCTGGATTTAATATTTAGTAAATTTCATATTTTCTTTGTTTTAATTAACTTCTATAAAGCTGGGATGCTACAACTATTTAACCCATAAGTGTATGGTATCCAATTTTTTTATCTAATTTAGACGTCAAGGTAGATTAGGAAAATGGAGCTAAACATTTAAGGAAACTAAATGCAGTTAACTTCCTTATTATTATTATTATTATTGAATGTATGATAAAACATTTCAAGAAGAGAAAGTCCCTCTGAATCGAATTTAGCTAGTAAATTAGTTTTAGCTTACGTCCACATCACGGTGAAATCCTGGTTCCCATACGATCACCGAAGTTAAGCAACGTCGAACCTGGTCAGTACCTAGATGGTTAACCGTTGGAAAATACCACGTGCCGTAGGCTTGTATGTGCGGGCGATGTAATGGATAATGCCTCGGAATTGTTAATCGGAGTACCGAGTTCCAATTATGGCTGGGTTCGTTATATTCATTTACGTGCATATACCCTTCGAATAAATATGAATCCCCCAGCTATGGGTTAATTAGTAAGATTTGTATAACTAAATCATTATTATCTAAAAAAAATTCTTATACTCTAACAAATAATATTTTTCTGGCTTTAAATAAGCTGAAAGTGTTGATAAACCGTAGAAAATGAATGAATCAATAAATCAAATTCGTTTTAATAAAGACACGTAATCTTCAATTTTTAGGCAATTCTTCGAAATCCAGAGGTTGGCATCAAACTTGTGGCCAAGAGTATACATGGTGGCCTTGGCTTCCAGAACGAAGATCAGAAAAAAAAGATTTTAACGACCCGCTGATGAGGCCAGTAGAGGACAGGTGGGGGCTTCTCATAGTAACAGGTGAGAAACAGGTGAGAAATTTTAAAAAAAAAAAAGGTCTGAACATTAGACTTTAAAACAGGCAAGTGTACTGATGTCGATAATTTCGGATTAGTGATCTTTCGACAATAGAAGTTCGATTATCAGTCTTCAGCTCCTCATCATGGATATGCCTCTATCGAAAGAAGTGCCTACAGCTCTACCTCAACGAGACTATGGCACGTTGAGCTGTGTGAGTATGCTAAATATCATTTCGGGATAATGAGAAAATCACAAAAGAAAGATTAAGAAATATTTCCTTGGCATAATTGTTAACAAAGTCGACTCCGAAATCATTTCACTAGTGAGTTTAATCCTCACTAGGTGACACACTGCATTGCCTTTCTCGCAGATTAAAATTAGTCAATAAAATTAATGAGATAAATACAAATTAGGGTATGAGGTGTGCTGAAATAGGTTAAACAGGACTTTTTAAGTTGGTTTCACAGTAATAAAGCTATAGTCGATTTTTTTTTATCGTTAGCGAGTATTCACTGACCGTCTTTGTTGTTGTCGGAACTGATTCGTTTGAAGTCGCCGAGACGTCTCTTTCAGAACCCTTTGTGGGGGAAAGAACAAGTTAAATAGCCACGTCTTCATTTCGGTTTATGGACAGCCATCTCACTCTCTCTCTCACTTTCTCTCTCTTCACCTCCCTCTCACACACTCTCTTCTTCGCCCTTTCAAGCCCTATCTCTGTCTCTCCCGTTCAGCTTGGCGAAAGCTTCTACCTTGATCTTTGAAAGCCAAAATCTTTGGGTTTTTATAAGAAATACATAGTTTAATCTAATTGGTCAAATATTTCACATGGGAATGTTAATTTCTAACCAATAGGCACTTTGATTTTAAACGTTGTGTGTTGTGTTGTGGAATCATTTGTCATGTCTGTTATTTGTGTAGAAAATAAAGTTTGAGAGTGTTTTAATATGGTATGCATGTAGGTATGTAATTGTGTTGGAAATAAGGTTTATTTCCTATATTCATTAGTAGAAAACCAATAACTAGTAGTACTGTATTGCTATAAATATTGGATCTGTAGAAACCCTTTCCCTTAAAACGTGTTCACTGTTTTTTCTTAAGAACATTCTAGCGTTTTTCGCTGGCCGTGCTGAAGCCTCAGTCATTCGCGGTTGATATTGTTATATTTGCTGGACTCCAAGGTGAGGTGAGGGTGTCTCTTCAACCAACACTCTCCCCCCCCCACCATTGCATTTAAACGAAGCAGAGTGAAGTTCAAAAAGTAAACAATATCTGAACCTACCTGCATATAGACAAGAGGCGGGGAGGGCGCATTTTAATGTTATATCTGTTGGTCAGAGACTCACGTGTGAAGTCCTTTATTTGTGGTAGTGTCTATGGCCTAAAAAGACAGAAAAATATTAGTTCTTATAGATTTACTTAGGTTTATGTTAAAAAAAAGTTATTTTACAAAATGTATATTCATGGATACTTATAAGCTTATATACTTATAAGCTTATATATTTATAAGATGAACTTTTCTCACAAGTCGAAGATTTGCGCCAATTCCCATCTGCGAGCTGTAGCGACTATTTCCTCAATTGCTACCACCTTATTACGCCTCTGACCTGGTACCAAGTCTTTAATATATCAAAAATTTCATTTTCTCTGGCACTTCATTTACTATTCCTTTTGTACAGTGCAGGCTGAAACTCGAAGGTGTTTCTGTTGTCATTTTACAAGATTTAACACGTTGGAACACCGGTAACAACACAGAAGTTAAGTAACGTTTAGTCTGGTCAGTACCTAGATGGGTAACCGTTTGGGAATATTACGTGCTGTAAGCTTGGATGTGCTGGTGGTTGATTGGATAATGACTTTGAATTATTAATGGAGAGCCGTGTTTCAATTCCAGTTGAGTTCGTTATATTCACTTTTCAAAGCCATTGGGGAAAGTACGAATTCACCTCTTTTCCTCCCAGTTATGGGTTAATTAGCAAAACTTGTATCACTAAATCATTATTATCTCTAAAAAAAAAAGTTCTTGCAATGTAAAAATATTTTCTGGCTTTAAATAACCTGCAAAGGGTTAATAAGCCTTAGAAAACGAACAAATCAATAAGTGAAAATCAATCAATCAATTAAACAAGATTTAAAACTGACCTCCAAGCAATTCATTTGGAATGATTAACAGACAATTTATTATTATTATTATTATCATTATTATTATTATTATTTTCTTTACTTTCTGGTGTGTACACATTTCTTTCCGGGTCCCGCCAAGAGTCAGAAATGGTATCATTACATTTTCAACTGACCAACTAAAATAAAATAAAAAAACATATTTTACATTCGTGCGGTGTGTGCTGTACTCGTGAGAACAATTTTTGTAATTGTTTAAGGCATAGGCCACAAGAAATCCTTTCAATGAGTCTATTGGAATATTTCCCAATCAATCCGAGGGCTCCAACTACAACAGGGTTTGTTGATGTTCTCATGTGCCACATTTTTGAGATTTCGATTTCAAGTTCCTTATGTTTTGATAGCTTTTTGAAGATCTTCAAAGATACATTGCAGTGTGCAGAGACTGCTATATCAACAAGGAGGCAATTTATTATTATTATTATTATTATTATTTATTTATGCACGGAGTTTCCAAACCCTTAAAATACAGGAAGTGCTTCCGAAAGTAATAAAAAAAAGTGAGAATGAAGGACTAAACATCAATTACACGAAAATAGAATGTGTGGTTGTCAGTAAAAGGAAAAGCCCAAGATGTGAACTACAAATTAGGAACACAAAAATTAAGCAAGTACAAAAATTTAAATATCCTTGAGGCAATAGAACTGAGGCAATAGAAATGTGCTTCTACCGAAGGATGATGAGAATCCTACGAGTCTGTGGTATTTTCAGCATTCTCGCATTTCCATGGTATTCCTCATAATATCTCTTTTTTTAACAATCTTCACTCTTCGAAAATTCTTTTAAAAACGATGATTGGAATTGGAATAAAACCTAGGATGAAAAGGAATTTATACATTTTTTTGTTCTTGAGAATTGACAATAAAAATATTAATTAGATTTTTTTTATTAACAGGAATAATTTTATATTCACAACATTCTAAAAATTAATAAAATTAAAACTAATGCAACACAATATTTATCACTTAACAATTTATAAAGAAATTTATGCGAAAAATATTTCTTATTCATGAATTTAAAAACATTTACTAAATTATTAAGATATGTGGACCAACTATAAGGAAATCATTATTATTTACCGTTTTACAAAGTTTGAATCGATTGTTAATTAGCCGGTGTTTTGCTAACCATTTCAATAAACAATTTAATAAATAGTGTAAATAAACAATCTCGAATGTCAATTCTCAAGAACAAGGAAAATTTATGAATTCACTTTTGTCATATGTTTAGGTTTTATCCCAATTCTAATCACCGCTTTTAAAAAACAATAAACATTGCCAACAAAGTGAAGGTGGTTTAAAAAAAGTGTCACGTTTATCCATGCATGCTATATATATATATATATATATATATATATATATATATATATATATATATATATACACACACACACACACATATAAATATATATATATATATATATATATTTCAATTAATGTTTTGAACGCTGAAATCTTACTCTTAGTCCTTTTACATTTGGATACACACACACACACACATATATATATATATATATATATATATATATATATATATATAGTGAGAGAAAGAGAGAGAAAACAGACATGGATAGTGAGAGAAAACAATACTTTCTAGATTCGTTGTCTATTAATGTTTTCGTTTTATGTGCCGTGTCCTTTCAGGACATAGGCGATCATGGCTCTCCACTTCTCCCTATCCCTTATAGCTCTCAATAAGTTTCGTCCCAATGCCACCTCCTCCAGACCGCGTTCTACCACCCACTTGTTTAATCCCGCCAGGTATGTTATGAGTTGCTTTCCTTTATCTATTACTAATAAATTCAAATTCTCAGGAGTTCACATCCTCGGTTCTTGATTCATTGTTTTACCATTGTATAAATCTAAATCTTCGGAATTTAGTTTGCTCTGTGGCCGAGATAGCTGTGTATTTTTTTCTGGCGCCTTTATCCTTTCCCTCATAGTAACTTCTTCTTCATTATCTTCTTCATTTTTACCCTTAACTCTTCTTCCCCTTTTTTAAAAATATAATTCTTCTTTTTCTCCCCTCCCCTCATACTCATTGTTGTTGTTGTTGTTGTTCTTCTTCTTCTTCTTCTTCTTCTTCTTCTTCTTCTTCTTCTTCTTCTTCTTTCTATTTATGCGTGCGTGTATGTATTGGAATTTCAATGCATAATTCAGGGCGTGATGATTTGAACATGATGGCTAGATACCTCTCACCACCACCACCACCACCACCTCGCTCCTGTTATAAGGCAACCAATCCTTGCCAGCCTGGCACTCTTCATGATGTCCCTCGTCTCCACAACCAAACGCCACCCCGCTAGATCTTGTACCGTTTTCTTATCGTGATTATTTCTTATCACGAATGAAAGCCAT